TTAATGTAAGATTTGTCTTATGTATAAATGGCAACATTTGCAAACATAACAGAATGAAGAAAATTAAGATGTAAAAAAAAAATAATTTATCTTTGTCAAAGTTTTTGTTAAATTTAATGTAATTGCATAAAGTTTATAAATGAAAATGCCACCAGGGGGCACATGAAGAACTCACATAAGCCATTTAAGATACAATATCTCTAGAAAAATTAGTTCTGTTTCGGTTCAGCAGTAGTTTTAGTGATATATTCAATGATATTTTTTAATATCTTCAAAAATATATGATTTTAATATTTACCAGATTATAATTTGTAATTATATATATATAATATATATAAATTGGTGTGTGTGTGTGTGTGTGTGTGTGTGTGTGTGTTTGTGTATGTGTGTTCCAGCATAGCTCTGGAACGCCTTGAGCAATTTCAACCAAACATGGTACACAGATGACTTGCCCTCTGGAAAAAAATACTGTAGGGATAACATGTCTTGGGTGTGTGTGCGTCTCTGTGTGTGTGTTCCATCATAACTCTGGAATGAAATGAAAAGGAATGAATTATATCTACCCTGTTTCTCCAACAATACGGCCTCCCCCAATAGGAAATCCCAGCATGTTTTGATGACATTAGATGAATCTCAGCATAACTGTGAGTTATACCTTGAGGGTGCCTGATATAATCCAATAAAGAAACTTTGTATGGAAGCCTTTGTAGTGTTTAGCTCCTTATCCCAGGTATTTTGAAAAGATAAAAATGAAAGATAAAAATTTCATGAAATGAAATTAAGCCCCTCCCCCCAAATTAAGGCCTATATTAAAACATGCGAAATGGGGGGAATGGTGGGGGGGCTTGCCATTAGGAAGTACTTTTGTTGCACACACGGATATGGTGCTGCCTGCGTTGACCCCGATACAAAGTGCCCCACCAACGCCAAGGTCAACATCCAAGCTGTTGCCGCCCACCCACCCGAAGATGCAAGGGGGGGGAATTAAGTCACCCCCGAAAAGACGACCTAGCCATTTTTTCGGAGCTCAAAAAAAAATAAGACCTGGCCTTATTATATGAGAAACACGGTATAGTGTCAAATCACAGTACTTTTGACAGTGATAGTATATATTTGGATTCATGTTCTGTTAAGATACAGCCTGTTGTGCCTTAAAATGGCTTCTACTGTACAGCACAGTGGAGCTGCCATGGTAACGACTTTATAGTACTCCACAAGGGGAATCCCTCTGGTAAGGGGGATTGGTTCTTTAAAAAAACCAAGGGAGCTCCCTCTGGTAAGGAAGATTGGTTCTTTAAAAATAACACCTTGGACCCTCAGCTTCAAGCAAAGAGGGGAAGTTGTCGGGAAGGTGCCTGCTAACTCAGATAACCACCTCAAAGGCTGTTCCCTGTAGAATTTTTCCAAGGCTGTTGGCCAGGGCAATTAGGTCTCTAATTCTCACCACAGTGGTTGAGGCAACAGGGCCAGGCCAAAGTGTCTTTTTCTTATATTTACTTTATTGTATTCCATAATAATATATTTCACTGCTGTAAATTATGCCTCCAAGGAAATGTCAGGTAATTGGCCAAGTGCAATCAAAGGCTACAAAAAGGAAACTCCAGTGTAGACAAGAAACTCCCAAGGAGAGGAATGGAAGATTTGTGATGCTGTGTAAGAGAGCGGCTACATCTAGACATTTAGAGACAGTACAACACTGTGCAGCCTGACTACACTATAGGAGAGATAGAGCTGTTACATATACAGCTTCCTTTGTAATTTGTTTACTCTACTTAAAACTTTTAAAACCCTGTAAATAAAGTTACTTTGATTTGACACTATAGATATAATTCATTCCTTTTCCTGTCTAATACAGGATTGGGATAAATAAATACCCAGGCAATGCCGGGTTATCAGCTAGTGAAATAAATATTATCCCTGCAAGATCATGCTTATTCAGTAGTTTAAAAAAATTCACAAACATCTAACTGCTCAGAACTAATTGCAAAAGATATAATCTTATGAATAAAGCCTAATTAGATGTCACTTTTCTCATAATCTTCCTATTACCATGTTTTCTCCAAAATAAGACCCACCCCATAAATAAGCCCTAGACTGGTTTTTTGGGGGGTGGGTGGGCCTAATATAAGCCTTATCCCCCAAATAATCCTGGGGATGGATGTGGCCCACTGACCCCTTGGCACAGTGAAGATACCTGTAAGTCTGAGCATAGGAACAGAGGCAGGGGGATATCACTTTAAAGGATGTAATTTATAAGTAATTGCATCAATACCAAGGAACAGTGAATTAGACTTATTCAAAACTCTGTCAAGCTTATATTCATTCATTTATTCTTTAAATTGACAAATACAGATAATTCTCGAGTTATGACAGTCATAGAGCCTGAATATTTCAGTCACAATTCAAGATAATCTTAAGTGAATCAGATTATGTGAACATGCTCTGATCCTGGAGTCCCGAATGCATATGTTAAATGATGCATATGTTAAATAATGCATACATTAAGTGTGCATGGGGTGCATCAGTGATGCCTGCCATGGGCTTCCCAAGGCCTGCCCCCATCCCTGAAACACCCTATGTTCCACTTCCCACTCTTTGGGGTGTCTGTAGCCACCTCCCAATGGCTTGCTTACCTTGTGAAGATCTGAAGAGCTCAGGAGGTGGGGGAAAGGAAGGACAGCAGTCTCTCTTGTTGGACCATTGGGGGAATTTTAGTGGCATCTTTTTTCCTTTTTCCATCCTCAGTGCACATTTTGAAACCTGAGCTGCTATAATTCTCAGCAAGTGAGGCCTTCCCCCTCCCTCTGCATTGCCACTTTAACTCTTAATGCTGCATTGCTTATTCTCCAGGTGGGAGAGACAGTTCAGGTGAATGGAAAAAAAACTTTTAGTGCATGTTTTGAAACCTCTGTGGACATAGGGAACACAACATACTACAAACAAAACACAAATATTTACCATCTTTATTTTTAAGTTAAACCTCTGGTTTCTCCAGAAGCTCCAAATGTATCCTTAGAGAATAGTAATGACAAGCGATTGCAACATAATCCTTTATTATTTATTTATTATCCATCTTGTGATTCAAAATAACTCTACTTAATTTTATTACCTAATCTGGTCCCCAATCCAAGGAAAAAAGTATTAGTATGTTAAGGCCGGTAGAACACATTAAAGGAGTCCGGAAGAGGTAATAGGAAGCACCCTCATCATTTTGTCTTCTAAGTGTCATTTTTGACTGGCGTATTCCTCAAGGTCTTTCTGGTAAGAAGCTTAACATTCCAAAGAGGGTTGCCTATTCTAGTCATTAGTATATGTGTTAAAAATTATGTGATTACTGATTACTGTGATCAGTAATGTACAATACCATAAATGTATCATCCCTACAACTACAGCAACACAATTACTGTTTTAATTTGGTGAATCAGTAATCCTTCCCTGGATAGACATTTCTATTTGAGTAATCCCAGTTTTTAAGACAAGAACAGCAAATCTGGGTATGTGAATTTCAGCTACCAGATTCTGTTCCATATTCCAGAAATGCCACATATACTATACAAGAATATACACATCAACACTGCAGTATTGGTATTTTCAAGGCTTCTTTCCACATGGTATAACATAATCTGCCATTAGTCTACTACTACCAACTTACCACAATATTTGATTGTTGTGTTGGAAAGAAGAGAAAATATACAGGGACAGAAACCTATTTGGCTCACATCTGAATGCAGACCAATTTATTCTTGTATTTTCTGACAGTTTGAACAATTAATCAGTAGAACAACTTGCCTCCAGAAGTTGTGGGTGCTCTAACAATGGAGATTTTTAAGAAGACAACTATTTGCTTGAAATGGTATGGAGGTTTTTACTTCAGCAGGGGGAGTTGGACTAGAAGACTCAAAGATCCTTTCCTGCTCTGTTATCCTATTATTTGTAAATCAGATAATTGTAATTCAAAATCTGCATTTCCCTGTATTTTGTTGTGGCATTTGCTAAATATAAAAAAATACATCAGAAATCCATTTGTATAAAAATACATATATTATGAAAACAATGTACAAAATATACTGTGTGTACTTTTGCCTGTATGCAGGTTTTGCTAACAAAATTTTAGCACATTTTAGAAAAAAAGTGTAACAAAATATTCATATTAATGTAAGCTTTTTTTTAAGTGATAACTGTAAAAAATGAAAGACTGAATGGACGCATCTACAAATTTCTAGCTTATGTAGGCTATAACATTTTTAAAATTACTCTCTTAGTGTGGGACAGTTTAAGATTAGGTTACAGGATGTTCCTAAAGCTGATCCAATTTGGTTGTCTAATATTTTTTCTATGCAAAGAAGAAAATTTTAACTGGCTTCCATGAACAGCATGAACTACTATATTCTCTGTATTGTATGCAAGATATTTGACATCGGAAATTATTCCTAAACATTTTCCTAGTCCTAATATCCACCAATAATGCTAAGTGAGTCTCAAGGACAATATTAAATGTCTAAAACAGGTAATGAATAGACAATGGATGCAGACAATGTCATTTATCTTCTCTTAGCTCTCCCATCTGTTAGAAGCTTTGATGGCAAGTGAGAAAAATAATGGCACAATGTCTGCATCTATTATATGAATAGAGAAATTTAGTTGGCCTTGCCTAAACTGAAATCATGATAAAGTTTTTTTTAAATGCTATAAATTCTTATCCAGAGTTCAAATTAAGACCCAGATGGTCTTAATTCTGTAAATATTTAAAAGACCAGAGCTTAATTTTATCACAAACCATAAATGGAATATAAACCTCTAAGACAATGCACACGTTTCCAATATTTTCTTTAACAAGTCTCTCTTCTGTGTCTTAAAGAAGAGGGTACTAGGCAGATATTCATCAGACACAGTCGTACCAGTATGCTAATACAAAACATTGGAGGAAATGTTGTGTATCTATTAAAAAAACAGGAATCTGGTTATTGAAAAGACATTTCTTAGCAAAGCATAGTACTCACACAACTGAGTTTTTCCCAGAATTCATGTCCTTTCTCCATCTTTCTCAGACTTGGTGGAATATACCAGAAACAAATATTTGCATATTCTGGCTGAAAAGATAAGGAAAAATAATCTTCCATACATAAAAAGAAAATTTACCAGACTACTAAATCAATACAAATGTAACTGTCCAAATGGGTAGAGAGCAATCTTACCTCAATTCACACATACACAAATGCACACAAAAGTTTTGTTATCAATTCCATCAAAGATTGTTAATCTAATTCAGTGTTTATATAAAATGATGATGGCTTGTATAATTAACCATTGATAATTCCTGAGTAAAGTTTATATCTGTTAAATTTGTATTTTGCATTTTCAGCATGAATGTTGTTCTGTGACAGGGATGTCAAACTCGTTACCACATGGTGTCGTCACATGAAGTAGCGCAACTTTCCCCCCTTTACTAAACTGGGGGTGGGCGTGGCCAGAACATTACCCTCCAGCCCTGGGCTGCAAGTTTGACATGATATTCTTGTTATAGTTGAATAACTTGTTCTCAATACTTATGAGGTTAAATCAGAATGGAAATGCTGAAAACAGGAAAGAGATAGAAGGATTTAGCTAGCGTGTATTCTATTTTTGTGAAAATGAACGCTATCTCCATTACAATCTATTCTTCCTCCCAAATGAATAGAAACTACTAACAGTGCTGAATTCTTTTATGAAAGAGCACTTACTCTGTTTATAACATCATTTTTTCCTTCTTTCAAAGAATATATTAAATACATTTAATTATCAAGGATAATTCCATTGTCAGCAGGAAGAGATGGCCAAGTGTGTTATTGGTAGTGATGAAATAAAATGACTTTTTTTAAGCACATCCAGACAAAGTAATCTTTATCTTCTAGAATACTGAATTTAATATTAGCTCTCATGAGATAGAAAAGAATTACAAATTATCTGGAAATATGTTTTTCTAATTTACACAATCAGTTCATTTTCCTCTTCTTTTTTTGGGGCAATCATTACCAAGTTTTCTACTTGAGCAAAAACTATGGTGCCCTCTCTCCTTGTATTTAAAAACACTGTCAAGCTGGAATTATGTAAGAGCTATTGTCATTATTTATAGATGCTAGGTTGGATTTTTTTCTTCTTTTATGCTTTATTTTTATATATTATACTGTAAACACACTAGTCACTTGAAATATGGAGTAACTAAATTAATAAAAATGGAGAGGGAAGGCTCACATAGAACCAAACTAAAAGTAGTTTATTTTGGTTATGTCTTCATGTGCTGCATTAACTGAGTTATCTTGATATCTTTTGCAAACCCAACAGATTGTGATTTATTGTGCACCCTAATTTAGTACAATTTGCAAAATGAACACTGACAGATGCTACCACCTCCTTTTTGGTTTTATTTCATATTTTTCCCTAAGAAGGAGACATGACAAAGTTACAGAACACTTCAAACAATCAAGAGACCTTTTGGTATGGATGGCAGGATAAGAACGGGTATCATGGTGAGTCTGAAATATTGATTATCCATAAGACTGTCTGTCCACTCGCTTAATTAAAAGAGCCTTTTATTTTAAAATAAATGGGAATCTGACATGTTGAAAAGAGAAAAAAGAAAACGCCAGCCTCTAGGATTAGCTTTATTTCCAATAATGTTTCAAAGTTCTCACAAAGTACTTGTAACACATAAAAACCGAGATTATTAGTTGGGGTTGTAAACAGCTTGATTTTCTACTAAAAAAGGAAAACTCAAGAGTTGAAATGAGGAATCCAGCACAATTTTCTGTTTCATTATACACCTATGAAGCCCACAATAAAAAGCTGCAGTAGGAACAGAAATTTAGGGAATGTATGTACATATCTATGAATTATGTACATATATGTACTTACGTATATATGTGTATATGTGGTTGGGGCAAGAAGGATCAATTGCTTACCCCCATCAAGTGGATATGTTTTGAGTAACCAAATAGTCACTCTATGAATATGAAAAGATTCCTAGGGCAACTATCTGGTATGAGTATCAATTATGTAACAATCTTCAACTCCTATACTGCAAAAACATATGGACTATTCTACTTGACCAGGGTAAAGCTATAGATGCAATTTGCATAGACTTCTACAAAGCCTTTGATTCAGTGGTACATGACAAACTACTGTTAAAACAAAACTCTTATGGCATTTCCGGATCCCTTCATAAGTGGATTACTACGTTCCTGTCAAACAGGCAACAAATAGTAAAAATAGGGAGCGCTATATCAAACCCTGCTCTAGTTAACAGCGGTGTCCTCCAAGGCAGCGTTCTAGGACCCACACTCTTTATACTCTATATAAATGACCTTTGCGATCAACTTATAAGCAACTGTGTCCTCTTTGCGGATGACGTAAAACTGTTCAACACCACCGACAATGCTACTATCCTTCAATGAGACCTTGATTACATGTCTGAATGGTCAAACATCTGGCAACTCCAAATCTCAACCAACAAATGCGCTGTCCTACACATTGGTAAAAAAATTCAGTACACCAAATACAAACTAAGTGGACATGACCTCATTGATGATCCTCACTCTGCCAAGGACCTTGGAGTTCTCATATCAAATGACCTAAGCACCAGAGCTCACTGTAACAGTATTGCCAAAAAGGCATTAAGAGTTGTAAATCTAATCTTATGAAGCTTCTCCTCCAGAAATATTGAATTGTTAACTAAAGCATACAAAACTTTTGCCAGACCAATACTCAAATACAGCTCATCAGTCTGGAATCTGCACTGCATATCGGACATTAATACAATTGAGCGGGTCCAGAAGTATTTCACAAGAAGAGTACTACACTGCTCTACTCACAACAGAATACCCTATATCACCAGGCTTGAGATTTTGGGCTTGGACAACCTTGAACTACGCCACCTATAGTTAGACTTAAGCGTAGCACACAAAATTATCTGCTGCAATACCCTACCAGTCAATGACTACTTTAGCTATAGCCACAAAAATATAAGAGCACACAATAGAGACAAACTCAATGTAAACCGCTTCAAACTTGATTGCAAAAAGTATGACTTCAGCAACAGAGTGGTCAATACCTGGAATGCACTACCTGACTCTGTTGTTACATCCTCTAACTTCCACTCATTTAACCTCAAACTATCCACTATTGACCTCACCCCATTCCTAAGAGGTCTGTAAGGTGTATACATAAGTACACCATCATGCCCACCATCCCTGTCCTATTGTCCCCATTTATTCATACCTATTTTCTGTATTCTTAATCATGTTTATACTAATATGTATTATCTTGTAAGCAATTGACAAATTAAACAAACAAAAAAATAAATAAATAAATTCCCAAGCAAGTTTTGATCTTGAAAATGACTCGTTGCAGAAGTGTTAAATTAAGTATAAACAGAAGTATGACCCTCTAATTCTGTCCTACCTAGACTATATATCACATTATTATTCCTTCAATGTATCACTTACTATGCCACATGTGCTGATATTGCTACTCCTAATCTATCCTTGAATAAGTAAACTCTGGACAATCAATTCTCTGTTAATTTCTGCTTATTCTGTGAAGTTTTCTCATTCATTGATGTTTTTACATCAAACAGCCTTTTTTTTACTTTTTGTTTGGATGTACTGCTTTGAAATTAAAACAAGAAATCCATTAAAATCCTAGCACTCACTAGTCAGCAATTACCAGAATCTGCAATCCAAATCCCCTTATCTAGAGAAATGCAGTTGTTTTCCTTTACTTTTCCTCTGGATGCTAGCTAATTTTCATTTATATTTTAACCACCTATGTGTCTATATTGTCTGGTTTTCTATTATTTATTTCTAACTTCTTGTTCAGAATTGTCTCTAATCCTAACTCCAATTTAAAATAGTAGCAGAATATTATTCTGCATGACACTGGAAAGACTTCCATGTTTCTTTTTTATTTCTGCAAGTTAAGTTTTTGAAGTCTAGAAATGGAAGTGTGGCAACCCATGCATTTTATCTCCTCTTTGCTGACATTGCGAGAAACATAATTTTAGGAAAGCTAATTAAGAATGGGTCTTGGCATCTTTTGCATATTTTGGGGGTATTGCAGACCAGCCTTGCCTAATGCAGAGGTCATCAGATAGGTCAGAATGTAACACTAATCATCCATAATCATGGATGCATGAAGAAACTTGAAATTTTGTACAGTCAGAGGTGAAATAATGATCCTGTTGCTGACAGTTATTTTTTTTATAGCTGTATTTGATCTGGAAGCATAGCACTTTTGCTGCAGTAGATGTTTTTTCCATTACTACACTACAAGGAAATTGCAACTTTATATTTCTGCTTGGTATAAATATATACAGATATTAAATTTTTAGAAATAATGGGACAGCATTAGAGATCTGGTTCCATAATATCATAATCTCATTTCCTTTCTTTTGGCATTGTTCCGAAATGTTATTCTTAGGCTTGAACAGAATCCAAATCTAGCTTACTAAACAGCTAAGATCTGTTGTTAATGACAGCAACTTAATGTCCATAACAAATAAAACAGATTGTAGAATTAGCCTTTTTTGGCATAGAAATATGCTACAGGATAGCATGAAGACATTCATATATTTTAAGCTCGTTATCTCAATTAAAAGATGTTTTAAAATACTAAGCTAAGATGTTTTAGAACAGCTGTAGATGCTATAGTTGGCTTAAGAGAATTCCGATATATAGCAGAACTTAATGTAAAGTGATTACATGTTACATGTCTCAGAAAATAACTATCAGGATTACATTCCTGGTTTTTTTTAATATTCCATTACCCACTCTTCACATTATAACAGCTTTCCCAATCTGATCCCTGATGTGTTGGATAGCAATTCTGATCAATTTCAAGTCAACGTGGATAGTACATCAATTTTGGAAAGATTAGATTGGGAACTAGGAGACTCATGTCAGTGTAATAATCCCTACAGAAATTGTCTTACAAATAACTGGGGCATGATACTGTAGGCTCCTTACATGTGACGGTTTAGGATAGTGCGAAATTCATAATCAATTCACAGCAGTCATTTATTCTAAAGTACTCAGCTTATCAAGAGAACATCTAAAGCTTTACATATTTTTATCTTTCATATGCAACACAAAAATTTATTTCGAAATATTCTATTCTAATGAGGAAGATTTTATTTTAAGAAATAAGGAGGAAAACATCCTTATGTAAAATACCATATTTTGTTTCAATCCAATTGTTTCTATTTTATTTCAGTTCAATTGCATGGTGAATTATTTCTTATTATCTAAATAAGGAATGACAAGTAATCAAGGTGATGATCTAAAATACTGCCTATACTTCATACCTTTTAGCATTCCTTGTATCATTAGTTCCAAAATGATGGCGCAAAGTGCTAAACTTTGTTGGGTGGGAATTGGGGGTGGTGTGGTGATTTTTATTTATTTATTTATTTATTCCAGATTTTGTTCTATTATACTTTATTAATTTATTTGATTCTTTTCATTAGTTTTTATTGTTTTTTATTTTTATTTAATTTTAAATATGATTTTACATCCTGTTAGCCACCTCGAGTCGCCATAGGAAGCAATATAAACTAAATAAATAAACAAATAAATAAACAAACTGTATTTAACTTACCTCCAGAAGCAACTGAAATCCTTCTCTCTTCTTAATTTCATCCACTAAGTATCTGAAAAACAAAAGCATAATGTCTAGAGTTAATTTAATAATGTACACATAGATACAGATGTTCACATTTCAGGTTATTAGATGCATCTATAATTTCCTTCAGCCTGAGAAACAACACTCCAAATATAGGTGAGGTTAAGTCCAGTAGATGGGATCACTGTTTATTTTATATATTTGTCCCTGTATATTTTAAAATAATAATAATAGCTGCTATTATGATGATGATGATGATGATGATGATGATGTATTGCTTACTTTCCTGAAAAGGCAATTCTAAGCAGCTTACAAATCATAAAAAGATGAATAAAAAAGAATTAAAATTTAACACTATGCAAAAAACAAACAAAAAACAAACCCAGGAACCAAGAGATGGATGCTACAAGGATGATGTCTTATTACGCTGTCAGCCACCTCCAGTAGTGAGGGCTACCGTATTTCCCCATGTATAAGCACCCCCTTTGTATAAGCCACCCCCCCAATTTTTGGACTGTGAAGTTTTGAAAAAAATATTTTATTAGAGAAACAAGTTATGAAGAAAGAAAATTTACAAAGAAACAAAATTCGACGTCTAGATCTACAACTTCGGTCATGACGCCGAAAGCGGTGCGGGCGACGCTAGCAATCTACGCATTGGAACGAGAGTAGGAACGAAGCATTCAGGCCGATGCCTAGCGTATGCATTTCTATCGCATACTCGCACTCGTAATCGTATCATCACGTACAATTTTTACAAAAAAGTATAGCATACTGCTGGAAAACCAGTTTATTCCTACTTTATTATTTTATGCATTTTTCATGTATAAAAAGTGTACCTGCTTTGTATATGCCACCCCCCTACTTTTTGGGCTTGAAAATTTTGGAAAAAAGGGGTGGCTTATACATGGGGAAATACGGTATCTTTGAGGTACCAAGACAACTGGAAAAGCCAAGTTTTATACCCTTTTGTAAGGCCAACAGGGTGGGGGCAGTTCTCAGTTCTGGTGATAGAGTGTTCCCCGGGTTCAGAGCCACAGAGAAAAAGTCTCCATGACCACTCTCACATAATTTGTAAGCACAGTCGTCCCCAACCTTTCAGCTTGGGGGGGGGGGGGAGATAAATGGTTCTGTGTCAGTGGCAGGCGCATGTCGGGCACACACTGCTCACACAAATGGAGCAATCGCTTGACACTTGTGCGGTCCAATTTCAAAAGAGCCATGGCCTGGGGGTTGGGGACCCCTGCCTTAATAAATGGAATCCCCAGGCCTCTTCCACTAGCATGAATGGGATGGACTAGTCCCATTGGGGTGAGACATTTCTTAGATCCCTGGAACCATGCCATATAGCATCTTGAATTTGTTAGAGTAGCAATGATAAATAATGAAGCTCACACATCTCTGGTCTTATAGGTGCCACCCTAAGAGCCCCCAGAACTGTGTGGATTGCTACTTCTGAACCAACTGCAATAACATTAAGCATCATTACATTTTGTATTTCTTTTTTTAAAAAAAGAGTAGCAATATTTCAAGAAAGTGTGTGAGGGATATTTTTTTTAAATTGCAGAGTCTTTTCAATGGTACGGCATGGTGATAAATATACATTTGCAACTATTCGTTTGTTTGTTTTTTTAGCTATTCTAATAATATAACCCTTTTTAAAAAAATTTAATTTAAATGCAAACATGCATTTTAAGACACAAAAACATAAACAAATTGCAGCAAGTGAATTAAAAGTGCCAGCTTTCACACAGATACTGTCTCATGACTTGGAGTTATTGAGCAAGCAGATGTCTGAATCAGTTAATACTAACTGGGCAGTTTTTGAAGAGAGAATGGAAGAAAGACTTCTAAAGATGAAAGAGGAAATGGAAGTAAGTTTTGGAGAGGTAAAATAAATTAATGATAAAGTGGACATTTTGAAAGCAAGCAGAAGTTAAAACATGAAAAAAGTTTAAATTGGTTTAGTATTAATATAATTGAGGGAGAAAGAACTCTGCTTGAGAGTCAGTGTGAATCCAGAGAATTCTGGTAAAAATATTAGAGTAAATTTTTCATTTTTTTTAGAATCGTATGAGAGACACAGAGGCTGAAATCAGTAAAGGGGATAGGATAAATATGTAAAGTTAAAAAAATATCCCAAGAAATATACTTGCGTACTTTGTTAGAAACAAGTCTAGAGACTAAGCAGCATTTTAATACTAGACTGAAAATGGATAATACCAATGCAACTGTGCTTAAAGAAATTCCAGTTAGAATATTGAAACCAGAATTTTTATTTCTAGGACTGAAAGTTAATTAAATTGTAATAAAGAGCCGTCCAATGCCATTTTTATACACAAAGATAGAAAGATGTGGCAAAACTTACAATGGAGGAATGCTTGGTGAAAATGACAGAACTTGCTGAAATGGCTAAATTAATTTCATTGATTTAAGGAAAAGACAATATCTACATTTATTGATGAAGGGACTTATGCATAAAAAAGAAAAAAGAAATTTTATGATTTTGATGATTAGATAGAATAGATTATAGAAAGAAGAAACTTATGGCACAACTTTACACAGAGAGAGTAAAATATAATTGTACCTATAAATGCTCTGAAGAAGGTCAGAAGCCACATTTTTATATATTTTGTCTGTTTTATATATATATTTTTTCTATGCTTTTAGCCTTTTCTTTTTTACTCCTTTTCATTTTAGTTTGCATTAGTTCTTACTGTTGTCAAAACTCTCAATAAAAGTATACATGTTTATAATTTAAGAATGAAGCCATAAATAGAAAGAATTCTGCATTACAATACACAAGAACCAAACTTCTACAAACATGCGTGCTTCAAAGTTTGAATGTGTGGCTTCCCGCCCCCCCCCACATTTCTAATCAGTGGATATCTAACTAGTATCTTGATAGATTTGCAAGGGATGTAATCTATATTGACATTAAAAAAAACTTCTCTCTAGCTTGGGAACCACTGGTTCCTATCTTACCAGCTGCATTTTTTTAATAAAAAGTTTTTTATTTTTATAACAAAAACAAAAAATAAAACCATCTTTCAGTTATACAGTATCTTGTGCACATATTAATATTTGTATACATTTCTTACTAAGTTTACATTCATATTATAACCTTTTCAGCATTATATATCATTATAGCAATATCATTTCATTTCTAACTTTATTTTCCAACCATTTATGAAATAAATCCCAAATAATTTCTTCTTGTTCTCTAATTGCCAATGTTTATACTCATTTCTGCACATTCCAATATTTTCTTAATCACCTCTTCCTCCACTGGAATCTTTTCATTTTTCCAATTTTGAGAAAATACAATTCTAGCTGCTGTTAATGTATGTATAATTAAATATATTTTTTCTTTACTATAATTCTCAGGTAGGACCTCAGTAAAAATATCTCAGGTTTTAAGTCTATATGTTGTTTTATCATCTTTTCCAACTATGTATGTATTTTTGTCCAATATATTTTGGCTTCTGTGCATGTCCATCAAATATTGTAATATGATCCAGGTATTTGATGACATTTCCAATATTTTGCTGATTTGTCTTTAAACATCTTTGCCAGTCTTGCCAGGGGAAGATGCCATCTTTTAAAACATCTTATACAAATTTTCTTTATAAGCTGCTGACATTGTTAATTTATAGTTTCTATCCCATAGTTTCTGCAATTTAACTAAGACTATCCCATAGCCAATTCTACCACCACCCCGGCTATCACTGTCTCCTTGACTTGTTCTTCTAATTTCACTCATAAAAAAAACCCATACAATTTTTAATCTTTTCTTCAGTGCCTGTTAACATTTTATCTAAATCGGTCAATTCATTATAAAACCCATCTGTTTTAACATCTTTTTCATATCTAGAATGTAATTGCATATATGAGTACCAATTCATATCGATTCCTTGTTCATTTAATTCTTGCTTTGTTTTTGAGTTCACCCCTTTCATTTAAAACATCATTATATCTAACAATTATATCTAACAATTTTAAAAACATTTGGATATATAAACACCTCCATTATTGATAACCAGACTGGTATTTTCATATAACGTCGTTACCTTATTTTCTCCCATACTGACAATAAAGCATCTCTAACATAATGTCTTTGAAAATAACTGTGTATCTTATTTTTCTTTCTTTCTTTTTTCTTTTTTCAAGTTTTAAAGACAAACAAAAACAAACAAAACATAAAAATATCCAACTTTCTTTCATAAGTGTACAAGCAGTGTGTCGGTTGGTTTACAAAATTTTTGTGCATCCATTTCATAGTTTCAATTACACTTACATTGCATAATAACTCATATTATCAATCAAAAATTGAATACCCTAGTATCACTATTAAACAATCACTTGACTGTAATTTTGTTCATTCATACTTTGCGAGATAACTATAATTTACTTAGTTTATTTTATAACAATTCCTATAGTCTTCTCAAATCTATCCTAAAGACATTTTATAGATATAATAACAAGAAAAGAAAAGAAATACATCTTTATATATTCATTATTTTCTAAAATTCTACATATTCTATTATTGTATTTTATTATCTAACCATTGATAGAAAAGGTTCCAGATTTTGTAAAATTGTTTATCCTCTTGTTCTCTAATTTCAAATGTCAATCTACTCACTTCAGCACATTCCAATATTTTCTTAATAGTTTCCTCCTGCGATGGTATTTTCTCATTTTTCCAATTTTTAGCAAATACAATCCTAGCTGCTGTTAATACATTTACAATCAGGTATTTCAAATCTTTACTGTATGTATCAGGTAAAATTCCCAATAAAAATATCTCTGGTTTCAAGTCTATATGTTTCTTTGTCATTTTTTCCAACCACATGTGGATTTTAGTCCAGTATTTTTGTAGCATCTGCACAGGTCCACCCTGAGCCAGGTATCTGATGACATTTCCAACATTTTTCAGATTTATTCTTGAACATTCTTGCTATTCTCGTCAGGGGAAAATGCCACCTGTAAAACATCTTATTCAAATTTTCTTCATATGCTGTTGACATT